ATGCATTAATAATAAGCAAATAAATAATAATGGAATAATTTACTGAATATACATGCAGCTATGAAAAATAAAATAGCACCACTTCTTTTTTTTTTCGTAATTAAAATCCACATAAGAATCGCAGTTACTATATCTTCAATTTGTTGACCCACAAATTCTAAAATTAGTCAAATGAGTCGCATATCCATATTTATTCAATTTACCTGTTTTGTTCAGCTCGAGCGAGTATTACGCAGTCGGCTACATTCGCTTGCAATGCACTCAATTGCCTTTGTTTTTCTGGTCACATTTAGCACTGGGCTTATTTATAACACTCGCCTTGACTTGGACTTGGACTTGGACAATTTTAATCGTGCGATTAGATTTATTTGCCTGTCTATAAATTGCATTTGATTTGTATTTATTTTCGTGCAATTTCTTATGCGCTGCAGGCAAATTGTGTTTGCCTTTGGCATTACAATGTGTTTCCAAAGGCGTTGGCCAAATATTTGCCCTTTGGCTTTGGCTTTGGCCTACAAATGCCCATTTATAGTTTGTTTGGGTTCAGGGATTTTTATGTAATTGAGCAAACTTGTTAATGATTAAACCAAATACAGAACTCAAACACAAACACAAACACACACGCACACAAACACRCACATACATTCACGCATAATTAATGCGTATTAAATGTGTAAGTGTGTGGGAATTTTGGCATAATTAACAGTCTGCTTGTATTTACTCTAGGCTTTGCCAGTTTCAGTTCCAGTTCCAGTTCGAGTTCTGCCTCCCCATGCATGAATCCTGTCTCGAAATGAATTGATTTGCAAATGTTGCTCGCAGTACTTACCAGCTGGGCTTAGGATTTGTGGCTGTGGTGGTGCGTTGGCTCGGCACAATGAACAGTCCATAGTCCTGGCAGCAGCTGCATTATAATTTACTCGTTTGTATGCAGGCCGAATCGGATTTGTCGGCCAGGCCGAATCGTATTTCGCAACATGTTTATATTGTGTAAAAAATTAATTAACATTTAGGCAGCAAACGCTGGCACGGGCGCTCCCAAGTCGTTTGTCCAATAATCTATTTGAAATAGATGCAGCTCCAGATTTGCTTGCCACCTCATTTACATCAGCAGCAACGAAATGCGATTTAGATGTGGGAAATGCTTTTGATAGTGATACTCTTAGTAATGCTCCTAGTGACTGATTGATGTTCAATTTGGATGGAAGCCAATACATCTGGGTTATATTTATCCGCCAATTGATTGACTTATTGATTGATGCTCAGCTCAGAAATGATATGAAATATCGTAAAATATATCTAGAATATATACTATATTATTATAGTAATAGTTGACTATTTGCATTGGTTGTCTGATTGACTGACTGACTGACCGACTGATTGACTGACTAGTTGATTGATTAATTGATTCGTTAGTTAATTGATTCAATTAACATTAACATTAACAGAATAAATTTGTGATAATTTATAATTAATTATGATTGAAGGATTAATTCATGAGTGAATGATTGATTAAAGACAGAATGATTGATTGATTAACTGACTGACTCTATATAAATATATATATCTGATAAAAGTTTATATTTACTTACTTAAACATTCAGTTATTGACCAGAAAAACTTAAACAATAAATATTCATGAATACCCAGAAGGGCTATAACCATATTAGTTTTTCTGGGGACCAGAAATTTCGTCGCAATAACAGTACGGTCGCTATAAACGGAGTCGTTATAGCTGGACTCTACTATATTTCTCTATTACTAATAATGATTTACATTTGTTTATATGTTAATATGATAGACTGAGTGATTGATTTGCAATTTTTATCTATATTCTACATAAATCGATAGATGCATAGATTTAGATTTTTCATTTCTCCCACTAGATAGGTTTGTGAGTACTTTGAGTATTTAAAAAAATCATAAATCCGTGCCTCAGTCAATCAGTAATATTAGAGCGCTTTAATTCGATTGCGCTCAGTTTCATTATGAACTTCATTATGCCTACTCATGTTGATTAGCCAAATTACGTAGTCACATCATAATCATCTGATGCGGAGACAATATTGCCATGCCAGCACAATTTGCATAAGCAAATAAACTAGTGTCTGAAGTAGTTAATAAATTCTTATCGAACACATCTTATTTGCAGATATCCCTGGTCATCTACCTGCTGTACCTGAAGCTGGGCATAAGTGCGGTGATTGGGGCCATTGTGTGCATTGTCATTATGACACCGTTGCAGTTCGTCATCGGCCGAGCCATGTCGAGGAATGAGGAAAGGATTGCGGTAAGTGGAAGCTCGAAGCAATAGTCTAAGGCGACAAAATCACAATTTAATTAGAGAGCGAACTACAATGAACCAAATTAACTTCAGGCTGCAGCAGCTTAAACCACAAAACACTTGAAACACAACAAGAGCCTCACAGTTCGTTTGTTTGCCATTTGCCTGCTATTATTTTGTCATTTGCAGCCCAGAATTTGTATTGTGTTCAAACTTGAACACCGACCGAATGACTGCCGCCAATGGCGCATTTAAGAGTCGCTTGTTAACAGATTTGTGGTCAATTTAAAGTAATTGTCAGTTGGTCAGCTTCAGTTAATTGAATTTTGGCTTTTGCTTAGACTTTCTACAATTATTTGTGGCCAATCTATGTCTGGACATTTCTAAGCCACAGTCTGGCTTTTTACAACCTGAATGCCCATTGTAAGTGGACAATCCTGTTATAATGATTTTGCGTAAATGTGTGTAACAGGTGTTTGTATGTATATACATATACATATATGTATAGAATTTATATATGTATTCATGTACATATGTAATTCGTATCGGTATAACGGGCTGAGTTGATTTAGCTGTATCTGCGTGTCCGTCCGCTTGTTAGTGTCTCCATTCGTTTGACTAGCCATTAGTTCGTTCACACATCTCCGCCCGTCCATTTTTCCGTCTGTCCTTCTGACCATCAGTCTGTTCCTGAACTCCATGCGTTTGTGTTTACGAACTAATAATTTATATTAAATATGATTTAATTTTTCCTCAGAAATTCACGGATGAACGATTAAAGAAAATCCATGATACATTGATAGGCATAAAAATAATCAAGCTGAATGCCTGGGACGAGGTTTTTCTCAGAAAAATTCAAGCAGCTCGCGAAAAGGAGCTCAAATATCTGAAAAAGGATGCCATGTACTGGACGCTAATGAGTGAGTGGAAATTTGTATATATATATATGA